TGATCGTAATAAGTAACGAGACGTTTTTCTGGCCGACAACAGATGGCATTCGTCGAGAAACGTTGAACCGTACAATTATGCGGTTACGTTCGTTTGGTTAGGTGGGGATCCCCGGTGCGGTCGTAAGTTTCCATCGGATCGTTACTCGCCGGCTGGTGAGAATCATTACTCGCCTGCCATTATGCGACTCGCTTTTTGCCCGGTGCTTACGTGGGTGTGCTAGCCATGACGCACATAATCGTAAACAGCCGTGACGTTGCGAGGCGGAAGAAGCAAGAAGCTTTGATTGGACACTGGCTCGACTCGCTTATCTTCCACGATTTCGAGAATAACACAAGACAGCGAACCTAGACGGGTTTCGACTACGTATCGAGGGGATATGAGTATCTTATTCGGTCCTTGAGCTAATTGTGCTATTGACGAGATCGATATCAATATTATCGGTAGACTAGTTGATCTAAATATTTTCATAATATATCTAGTTAATAATAACCTATGTAACTGGAATCTTTATTTCGAATAGCATACAACGATGTTTCCTCCTCGTGGAGTACATAGGATGCTGCAAACAAAAGCCTGAGTCTCGTAGTAACTCAATCTGAACTTATAGTGGCCGCTGAGAGGAGCAAAAATATTATATAAATCATACAATATCAGATAAATAATCAACATGGATTCTCTAGACCCGATCCTTTCGTTGAAAAACACGAAAATATTTATTTCAATACGAAACTGATCTTCGATAATCATGGATCAATGTCTCGCATTACGTCTATTCTCTGTAGCGCGTACTAAATTATTTATTGAAGTCTTTAAGTGTTTCATGAGAAGGAATCCTGAAGATTCAAATCGGATCATCGAGCGAGACATTGTATCGAATCTCTTAAATCTCATTATACTACATGTACTCTATAAAGTAGTAATACTTTACCTCATTAATTATAAAACGTAAAAGGAATGAGAGAGAGTAATGATTTTACATCCAGATTACTTACACATTTCTTCGTAACTTCTATTTCTATTTTTATTTCTATTTGTTGAACGGTATACGATAACAATATCTCTTAAATCATATACCTAAACTTCAATTTACTACTATATATATATAAGATATTATATATCTCTGTATATCTACCGTATATATATATATAAGATACTTTAAACTCTAAAGGATTTTTAGAAGTATCAAAGTGATTCTCGTAAATAATGTTTGGTACATGGCATATGGCATCGGTTCACAAAGAGAGGCGGAGATTTCCTTGCGGGATCTTCGCGGTGTCTCCTTTACACGCTCGTAAATTACAACGTTGGATTCGAGAGTGATTCTCTTTCCGAAATCACCACGGGGTCGTATCACCTCTCGTCGTCGATGCGAACGATTTCGAGGCTCTTCGGGTAGAAAATAGAAACCAGGATGATCTCCTCGGCAATCCTCTTGCCCCTCCATGACGTGTTAAGGTTCTCGTTACAGCCGCGTTTCGAATCACCGCAGTAGAGCAGCCGGAAACAAACGAGATCGACCATCGTCCCGTATATTTCCAGAGGCGTGCTCTCTCGTTGCTCCTTCTCTTCCTCTTTACTCGTTCTCTCCTTCTTTTCCTCTTTACTCGTTCTCTCCTTCTCTTTCCTCGTGCACGTTCTATCCTGTTTCTCTCTTCCTTCTGGTAGCTCGGTATCATGAGCGCGGAACACATCGAGAAACGCGCCCTGACGACGCGCATCGCTGGTAAATTTAAATGCGACCGGTCACGAGACGAGAGAAGCGCAAGTACCTCGCGAGTACGTGAGGGTGAGAGAGCACGAGCGCGTGCGTACTCACGCACACGCACGTGTTCAGCTGAGAGAGGCTGTGGCCTGCGTGCGCCTTTTAAATATAGAATATGGAGCACCTTGCCCGCCACCGCGACGCGATGGGATTGTGCAAGCGTAACTTTCTGTTCCCTGCACTCACCACGTGTCCGCACCATTTTCCCCGCGGTCTTCTTCCATCGGCTGCTCCGTATTTTCTTTCGAAACAGACCCTCATTGGCGGGCCGCGAATACGAGATTCGAGCGGAGAATAGGATTTGGGTTAGTTTAAGTTTCAATTTCGATCGTTAGCCTCTATTTTGTGTTTGAATCCTACAGTGAGTCGCGAAAGTATGCAAATTCTCATCGTAAAAATTTTTTGTTTCTATATTGTTATATGGAAAATATGTAATAGGACGTTGTCATGTAAATTGTAATGCCTTTGTATTCTGCTCGGTCAATATTTATGAAGAATACTAAATGGACATACATCTATTAGCTCGACAAATACATAAATAGCCATTTTAATTCAAAAAGTTGGATTAATAATCGTAACAAGTTGTTTGTAGATACAAAAGGTATGAGTATTTTAGAATTGGTTTAAAACTGCAGAATAAGTAGCGCTCGAGAATATATGTGCTTAAAAGTGTTTCGATATTAAAAAAAAATCGAAGATTCTCGAGTGAAGAACAAAGAACTATGTATCTTCGATATTACTTGCAACTTTTATGTATTCCAACTTTGCTCGAGATATTCAATATTGTTAAGAGATCGAGCGCAAGCTTCTGGTTAAAATCTACTTAGTCACCACGTACATTTCTCAAAGCACATTCTCATGAAAAGTTAAAAGCTATCTCATCCAGGATTCAATTTATTTAAAAGCAATATCTTTTTCTTTCTTAGTTCTTTCGAAGAACTCACGGAATGTTTGAAACTGTACAGTCAGATCTAAATCTATTTGTAATATACATGATCCGATCTTTAATTGAAAATGTAGCGGGATTATATGTAGAACGTTGGTTGGGAAGTCCATGGATTGCGAAGCATGAGAGAACTTACACGAGAAGTTTACACGAAAAAAGATTTCGCAAACGTATCTTTATACGTGGCTACCATTAAAATAATATAGAATAAAAAAATTGCACGATAACCAGACTTATCTCAAAAACTATCGCTTGTAAACTCCTATATTCGATTGCTCAATTTGAAACACCGTCTATGGTGGTATCACGAAGAATCACATTTCATAACATATCTATATACGTAGCTAACTTCAATATGCGTACAGAGCAAAAATTATACGATAACCGGCCGTACCATATAAACCATAGATATCGAAATCATTAATATAGGCTTAGAATTAGATTGCTAAATACATAAAACACATTTCACGTTGGTATCACGAAGAACTGTACTTCATATACATAACTACTGTATACGTTGCGAGATAACTAGCCTGCATAAACGAAGCCACAGATATCAACAAGTTATTATAAACTTCGTATTTAATTGGTCAACTTTAAAACACTCGTCATGGGTGGTATCGCGATGACTTCATAAATATAACTACGTCAATATGAGTTGTAGAATAAAAATTGCGCGACAGTTAGTGCTTGCTCGTAAATTATGGTTATAGATATCTATGCAAAAAAATTGTCATATTCCTTTTATTTGGTCGGTCAATTTTAAAACATCTTTCATACTCGATATCATATCAATTTCGATCAAATCGATTGAATTTCAGCGTTCATCGATTCTCCAATTATAACGCATCTCAGCAGAACGCCTCCTCGTTGTAATTTACCATCGCGGCGATATTGCTTTACGGACGTCGAAATAACGCTGTCGTCGCTCCATTTTCGTTCCTTCATATTTCGTTCCTTCATTCTTATTTTCACGGAACACGCGTGGGCTGTTCTTCTTGCGATACGTACACGACCAATCCCTCGCGATTAATATAGCCGTGGCGCGTGTAAGCCGACGATTCCGTGAACGCGATAACGAGTCACGGGCTTCTTCCTCCGATTCTAAACAACGTTTCTTAGCCCTCGGAGAGACGCTTTAAAATATTTATTGTATCCTGTAAAGTCACCATGCAACATCAACACACTATAAAACTCGATTCAGCGCTGCCCATTGTCGTCATCTTCCTCCGTAAAAGATTCGAGTTTCTCTCGTTTCCTTGGTCAATAAGAACATACATACGCTGGGCCAGTTTCTTCATTGAAATATAAAATGGACGCAATTAGAATCGCTCCTAGTAAAAGACTTGACTTATCGATTCGGTTGAACCAATTAAGCCACGCAATATCTCCGGTTGTTTATAAATTACGATCGGTACCGTGGCATTTTTTAGCAATTTCGTTTCTAGATCGCGAATCGCTGTTACGAGGGAAAGATCCGTGCAATTTATATCGATAGTAGTATTCGTCTTGGTTATACGTATTCAGCTGGTTTTCTTGTATCAATGAATTTACCTCTGGGATTGGTACGATCGAAGCAAAACTTGACTATAAACTACGAAAACTAGTTAGGCCTGTTTTCTATGATATCCTTTTCTTCCCTTCTCCTTGTATCAGCCACGGCGATCCACAGAGAGACACGCCTTTCAAAGGCTGTCACGCAACGAGATAACTGCATTAATGTTTCAGTAACGATGATGACCAGTCGGGAGGATTTAATCTTCGCGAAGTTTCATTCGAATTACCGTAACTTCCGATGTAGCTTGTACTTACTTATTTCACGCAGATGGAAGTGACACGTGATTACACGCGTGTTTTAATCCCATCGTAATATCTGTGCCGGACGTGGCTCCTGCATCGCAATTATCTACACTGACGATCATCGTTATAACTTACAACATAGCCGAACTTGCGATTGCTGATAATGCGAAAGAGAAGATACGCAGGAGTGGAAAGATGGAAGAAGCAGGAGAACACATACAATCTTCGAAAACGAAGAAATATTCTAATGTATATGTATAAATAGCTGTAAAGAAGATAAATTTTGTGGTAAATAATAAAAGGGAGAATCTATTCGCGCAAATGCTGAAATTTAAAAACAGAATCGAATGTTAAAACATTCAAAACTTTGATAATTTAAAAATATATAAATTCAAAGCTCTGGAAATGCGGAAATAAAAAATTTCCAGATTTGAATATTCCAATGTTTCGAAATTGAAATCTAAGAATTAAAAAATTTAAAGTGCTAACAATTCGAAACCTAGAGACGTGCATAATTGGAGATATCCGCGGCATATTTATTTCCGTAGAAGCAACCAAGTAACTTCCATCGATGGAATTCCTTTTCCACGAATCCCAGGCTAATCCAGACAGGTCACTGGCCAAGTCCAATATATTATCGACCCGGGACAGGTAGAAATTTATTATGGATAGCATGGGGACCGCGTAACATAGAGAACGGCGATCGTATTTTGGCAAATATCATTGCGGACGTAGTCGATAACTCAGTGATTCGTCATCGACTGCCGGCCGATAGTCAAATGAACGGGCTGTCGTAAATCGTTGCACCAGTGTGCACTAACGCATAAATCAAAACACACACGGCTGTCAGGTGTTTCAGGCAGTCTCGTTATCGTTACGTCACGCGCGTGATATCGAGTATATGCGAAAATATTCGAGAGAAAATACGTACGCTGGACCAATGCTAACGTTAGTTCACTGATACGATTAATCCTGGCTAATTGTACCGACGATAATTTATCCCTCCCAACTTTTTTTTTCTCCTTCAAGCTTTTTTGTCTTGCAATTTCACATAGCAAACAGGGTAATAATAAACGCGACGCGGACGTGTCGACGAACATTAAACAAACGTTCCAGCGCCACTAGGACGCCAGTGAAAGTATAATAGTGAGGATATTAATGAGTACAAAAGACTCCACCTTCGTGGCCACGCAATGCATGCTTTTTATTACATCGTCCGCGTGACTTATATTTAAACGAGGCGACGCTGTTACACTATACTCTCTCATCTGTAGTCTATATGACGTAGTGACGCAAACGCGAGGACGAATTGTCGCGTTATTAACTCGACGGGACTCGAGAGCAAGTAGTACCGTGGCTGACACTTAAAATCAATTAGCGGTACGCGTCAATTAGAAAGTCGACTGGCCTCTCCTCGATGTCAATTTCTTAGTAGCTGAGCTTTGGAGCGTGGAATAATCGTTCTGCTTCTTAACCCTCCTTTCGATATCTTTTAGCTGTATGTAGTTCATATTGACACTAATATCGGCATTTATTCACAATTGTTCTTCGTTTTCACTATGAAAAGTAAATAAAGATTCTTCGCTGTCTTGGATTTCAATTACTCGTGCAATGTCCAACGGGTTTTGAAATTATCTAGATGTACGTGTTTTAATATACGAATTTATCGATAGATAGCAGCAGGACAAAACAAAATTATTGAAATTCAACCATATCGTGACAGTTATGTAAGCTACTAAACTTATACCACGGAGAAAGAATTCATCCAAGCCTATTACGCATAAATACCCAACGTTACTTGAAATTCTTCAGATATCCACACGTATCCAGTCTCTTAAAATTTGTTCCCCTTCGCGTTAAACCTCGTACTCCCACGAAGAAATTAAAATACCGTACTCCATAAAATAATTTGCATATCAAGTACGACCGATTAAATTTCCAACTTTTATACGCCTTTCTTCATCCCCTAGACCGGGACGCCTCACTCAGATGGACGATTTATAGAAGAAAGTTCCTCGAAGAGGAAGCGACGAGAGGTAAGGGTAAAATTCGAGGAAACAGGTTCTCGGGGAGATGGCCGTCGTCGACGACATCGCGACGACACAACCACGTGATCGATAGTCGTTTGGCCAGCTAGAACGTTTCGATCTCCCCGACGCCGGTCCACTTTGACGCCGCGTTATTATGTAAATCCAACCGGATGTTCTTCCTGGATTCTTCCTCCGCCGCCACGGGCCCGTAATTACTCTCTTCCGGCCTCGAAAATTGCACGGGGGATGGCTCGTCCGAATTTTATACTTGCATCGACTGCATTATGCGCACGAGAACGTGGCACAGTGTAAATTGGCCTCTTCATCCTCGATTCCTCGAGTAATTCCAAGGAAATTCCTAATAATTGAGAGGTTGAAAACTAAGCATATTTAAAGTTCGTCCATCAACGTTCATCGAACGGATGTTGAACTTGTTACTAGTTGTATTTTTTTTTTTTTTTTTATAGGCACGACAATGGAAACGATCGCAATTAGACTTACGTTGATTAAGAAAATAACACGGTGCGGTTCTAATTCATGCAACAGTGTTGTACACGCAATTTATGTGACTGACAATTTATGTGACTTTAGAAGAAATTGTGGTGACCAAAGAAATCGGCGTCCTATCTACCCTCTATCTACTTCCCTCGTTGGAAAAAAAGCCCTTTCCCTTCCTACCGTCGATAATTTGCCTGGAAACGCCCACATAAAGAGTGGAATGTGTTTTCCCCACCTTAACGTTGAAAATATTATTCGAAAATATATCCTCGCAACTTCCACGTTGGTTTATTTTAGCCGTGAATATAATATATCACGGAAGAATATCAAATATTATTCAAGCAAATTAAAATACAATCATACGATTGTTTCCACGCACGGCAAATCGCCAACGAATTTTTTCCTCGAAAGTGGTTTCGCTTCGCGGTAATTTACTAAAATCAGGATATCGAAACGTAACATGTTCGTCGAATTCCACCGAGAACGTCCCTTTTTCGCAATATGTACAATTAGCCAGTCTAACGTTTTCACGTTGGAGAACGATCGATTTCACTTTTGTTTGAATCGAAGAGAAAGAGAGATAGGATATACGCTCGTCGATAAAATTGTACGAAGGAAATGGCATTCGCGCGGTAATTTAACAGCGCGATGTTTTAATTAACGGCGCGCGATATTTTGCACGTCAAAATTGCGTCCGGCCGATTTCATTCTAAATTGAAAAATGACGCTCCTCCCTAAAAATACTCCAGCATCGTACATTTACCTTGTCATTTGAAATATTCCTATCGAAATACGCCGCCGTTCATAAGTAACTGGACACTTTGATCGATTTGTAATAACGGTATGTGAATTTACAAATGAAACAAAGTTTACAAGCGAATGATGAATTACTAGCTAGAAACTATAAAAACATAGCAATAATATATTTTGCCATTTACTGCATACTTCTGCATATACGTAGTATTTAAATATCAATGATTGCGTTAACAACGAAAGCAATTTCAATCGGTCTTATAAGACTTCTTTCAATGTAACTTATAATACGAAAATTAAAAAATCTGAAGATAAATGGTTTGTCAAGTAACGAAGTTTGTCTGTAACAGAAAGAAGAAAAAAAGAAAGGAAAATTTGAAGAGAGAAACACTGACCTTGAGGAGCCGCCGGAAGTAAGGACTGCACGCAGAGAGGACGACCTTGTGCGCGGTGAAGCTGCTACTGTCGCATGCCAGGGTCACATCCACGAAATCCTCCTCGTCCCTCAGATGACGAAATGAACTGAGGATGCTCGAGTGGAAGTCGTTCCACCTGAGTGAGTACTGTTGCTCGCCGCTCGACGAGGACGAAGAGGCCGCCATGGCGTCCGTCCCCTCGGGACCCACGGCCGAGGGCACCAGAGGTGCTATCGTGCTCACTCTGGCACCCCACGAGGACACCTTCACTTCACCCTCTCGTCGCGTTTCACCACGCACCCCTCTATTCTTTATCGACGCCCTTCTGCTTCTTCCACACACCACCCACAGGGACAGTCGTCGGCTGTCCTTGTGCAATTACGTTAATCAAACGCGAGCGATTCTGCGATTTAGTGATCTCCACTCGAGGTTAAACGAGATCACTGTTGTCTTCTGGTTTTCTTCCTTTTGTTAAGTTTGATTTTCTTCAAGAAACGTCCTTGTATTAAATTCTTTGGTAGCCTCGTCCCATTCTATGGTTCTTCAATTTTTCTTTGTTTGTTTAATTTCTTCTTTGACCGATCCGAACTTTCTCTTCTGTTTTGTTTCGTTTTGTTTGTGATCTTCTTTTTACGCACGACGAACAAGATGTAAGATTTATTACTAATAGAAAACGTCGAAGTATTCGAATGGTGTTCTTCTGGAAGCTGTCTGATGTAAGGAAAAGTCAGGTATAACGCCACGAAGGATCTCATAGTAACGACATCGTGATAGGGACGGGAGGACGTTATCCGTCGCTGTTGCTGCGAAGTGACGAGACAATAAACCCACGGTCGCTTCTGAAAACAATGCGGCGTCTATTGTGAATGCTTGATCCTTGCCATGTGACGCGCTCTATCAGCCATTTTTTGAATATCGATCGATAAATGCCACAAGATTCATTTTGTATATTAAATCTAGCTCGCTGGGAAATTTCCATTTCTTTCGCTTTAAATACTACTTTCCGAACTATCGTTTGAAACGAGATGGCGACTGAAGACCATTAAAGATTAAATTTCTATTAAAAAACCGTCACAGAAGTGATGCGAGTTTGCAAAAGGAATTTATAACAGGATATTTCTACCCAAAATTGTGTCGCCTTTCTACACTAGTTGAAACGATCAAAGGATCGTTTCCCGCGTCACATTGATTTTTATATCCACTTGTTGTATCTGCGATTGTCTTTAAAGTTAATCTCTATCACAATATCACACAACTAACATAATCTATGATTCCTATAAGACACTTTTACGCTTCTATTCTCTTGCCTGATGCAATAATGATCATTCATAATAAAGAACCTCTAATTATTCCGAGTGTCTACAAATGTATTTGCTAAATCTTACTGGTTTCTCTCTATTTTAGAAGAGAGGAAACATAGAAATTGAAAAATGATGTACCTTAATCTTGTATTTGATAAGTTCGACGATCTTCCTTCTTCCACTCCAAGACTTCTCCAACAAGCTCCAAACACGACGTGTATTACTTTTTCCCGTTTAATGAAGTCCTTGCGCCCTCTGCCCAGCCACGACTTGATCGACGCGTCATTCCGATATTCGTTGTCGAGAAACGCGACAACACATCTGTCGGTACTCCCTCGTCCTTTGGATGCTAAACGCTTGATTATAGTCTACCAGATCATCTGATTCTCGCGAAACACTCGTGTTCTTGCTTATCATGCCCTTTCACCTCCGCTATCGCTGTTTTTGGTGTTTCTTTCCTCCACCTCCGCCTATTTAGCCGCCTCGATCTCTCCAATTCTACAAAATACATGAAACGAAACTCTGGTTAACGTAATTCAATATAAAATTAGTCGGAGCAGCTACGAACAAGAGGATAAATTAATCGAGCAACAATTTCGCTCGTTTATTTATTCCTCGCACACTTGAGAAAACGCAGTGCCTCGATTCGAGAAGATTATTAATATTCAGTCAGTCCAGGTTCTATGAACGAAGTTAGTATATACATGAAGGAATTATAGACTAGCTATCGAGCATATATAATCGAGCATAAGAAGAAATAACAACAAATCATCGTAAGATCGGTTCCAAAGCTCCAGTTGCATTTTATTCAGAATGACCAATGAAGGAACGATAAAGCATAATTCCATTACTGAACAAGCAGTGACTAATCGTAATTTTCCCAATGCACGTACAATATTATGCTGGTCAGCTTTGAGAAACTGTTCTTTGTCATACGTCCCTATAGTACGATGTATTATCAGCAGAATATCATTGAAAGGTTACTTTCGTTGTCTCAAACGTTGTACTTGCAGATCAATTTGGCGCGTTCCTTTTTTTTGCACGGAGAATCGTTGCTTTTTCTCTCGTTTTATCAGGCTCTTCTCTTTGTCGATCGAAACGATAAGTGGATACTCCTGCATCTGTCTGACAGAATGAATGGACGGCAAAAGTATTCGAGAGCATCGTATCCGGTTCCTTTCGACACGTCAACGTGTCGCATACGCTTTGCACGCATTCGAGGCTTGTCAATTCTTTTGTACATTGTATCACGATGCGTCTCTTCAACTGAGCTGATACCATCGCGATTTTCCACCACCGAATAATTTATCGGTCCAGTAACAAACAGTCGATCCGACAGGCGTATACAGATTTCTCCTGAAATCTCCCCTGTTGTCAGTCAAAATTATATATAACCTTAAAACCTTTAGATGATTATCGGGAATAAATTTACGAAGGTATGAAAAATAAATAATAAGAACGAAGACGAGATTAAGTAAAAAAATAAATAAATAAATAAATAAAAAGAAATAATAGTTGAGTATCAAATTTGTATTGATTTTGTAAATATAGAAACGTTATAATCGAACTCCCCTTTTTACGAAGTTAACGATTTCCCATTATCCGGGTAAATGACTGATATCCAACGTATCAACGAACAACCTCTTCGAATAGAATATTAATAACAAAGGTAAAAGAAAATTGAGACCGCTGTAATATCGCAAAACGATAACACGACTATCGGTGATATTTACGATTCCGTGAATTTACTTTATAACAGGCTCGACAAATATTAGAAAACGGCCGAGATATGTGCCAGGTATCGACCGACATAATGGAACAACCAAACGACCAGACTCTATAATTACTTTTCCACCTTTAATTGCAAAAAAAAAAAAAGGACGAGATTTCACTGATAGAGATTCGATTACTCGTATCACCGTAAGATTAACGCTCTATAAACAGTCCAAGCAGTCGAATTGTATGTATTTCTCGAGTCCGACGCCGATCTCTTTTAAATTACAGAAGCGTGTAGCAAGTGTGCCAGCGCTGATCAGAAACATGCGAAGATACGAATTACGAGGATCACAAAGAAATCAAAGCTCGATCTGTGGCTGCAACGGTTTCAGGAAATCAAATAAAATATACGACCCGGTTGAAATACTTTCTAAACGATTGGGAACACGCAGAATCGTACAGCGCGGTATTCGCGTAATTTTTATCCGCTAATAGCCCCTCGGTTAGAATTCCGTTTCTCGAGGCGGATTTCAGAGGCGTGTACGCGCGGTTGAATCTGGAAATAAATGTGAAAAGGAAAAAAAGAAAAAGAAAAAACGAGACCGATGCAATTCAGGCTGCAAACGATAAGTAAGCAACGCGACAGGAATCAAAAACGTAAGTACATACGCCTTCGAGCACTCGCGCATTATGAAACTAACATAATGACCAGAGGAGGATTTCGCAAGCACATACCTAGAAAGCGTTACGAGGCGTGGAGTACGCGAGCTCTGCGTTATCTCAATTACGATATTCATATTAAATACGCATTTTCCTACGAGCAGATTGCCACCCCGAGCACGGATTCGAAACTATTTAAGCAAATCAACTGATCGACCTATAAGGTGTGTTGGAATTTTATAATTCGTTCGAGAGGACTGTAATGAAAATATAAAAATTGCAATTGTCATAGCATATTAGTAGAAATAACGTGAATGTAACGTAGTTGGAATTTACCAGTGGAAACGTTCAATCTTGATACGTTCCTTAAATAATGTTCGACGACTCGTGTTTTCCTACCCGTAGAAAATGTTCTAAGTATGAGAAAAATTGTCGAGGCTGAGACCAATATTAAGTCGAGAATCAATGGCAAAGGTCCAGATTCTAATAACATTCTAATTTGTATTGATTTTGTATGATTTATAATAATTAAAAATATTTCGTTATGTTAAAGTAGTATCTATATAGTTTTTAGTTCGATACTAAGCATTCATTTGTTGCGCGTTGCTTCTGTTTTGAATGTTGAGAAAAAACTCGAAATTAATACACAACAACACACCACATTACTCTAGATCATGCAACGCGTGTTGATACACTAAACTTTCGTACGATATAGTCCCACTGGTATCTATACCGCATAGTATTATATGCTATTAATAACTACGCGGGTTACACTTGCCGAGATATTTTTAAAAGAGTAAGCTAACGAGGTTTCGTACAAAACGAATGGAAGAAAATTTCTTAGAATTAAATGTAACATAAAACCGATGCAAATGATGTACTATGAGTAATACGATGGAAAATTACAAAGGAAATACCGATTAGTCTTATTTGAAGGAGCTTGTTCAATCACTTCAATTACCTCTTTAAACAAACCGACTCTGTTCATGTTTGTTTTCATGAGCGAAGCGATAAATTCCAGCATCTTTAATTTCGACTTAGTACATTTCGATTTCTTTAATAAAATATTCATGATATTATACAACTTTTATAAATTTATCAGTATTTACATTGCAGAAGAATTATATCCAATAGCTAAAGTTGTTTTTTTTAGGAATACTTAATTTCCATACATCATTTTTCATAATACCGATTCTACAATACTGTATTTCTAGAATGCATTATTATCAATGATGCAACTCTGTTCATGTTCGTTTTCACGAGCGAAGCGATAAATTTCAGCATCTTTAATTTCGACTTAGTACATTTCGATTTCTTTAATAAAATATTCATGATATTATACAACTTTTGTAAATTTAGCAGCAAAATTGCAGAAGAATTATATCCAATAGCTAAAGTTGTTTTTTTAGGAATACTTAATTTCCATACATCATTTCGTATAATACCGATTCTACAATGTTGTGTTTCTAGAATGCATTATTATCAATAATGCGGTGAGTATCGAAATTTTCATTTCCAACATCTACCTAAAACGCTCGATAAGATAAAATTACGCGTAACATACGAACGATATAAGTCACATATTCACCACGAGCAGTAATGGAAAATTCGAAATCCTCGCTGATGTTATTTGAAGAAACTGCTTCGACCATCTCAATTAACACCTTTAAATCAGAAACGATTCTCAGGCTTCTTCGTACGAACGTTTACGAACTGCGCACGAGTATTGAAATTTTCATCTTCATCGTCCATTTCAAAACACTCGATGTCTTTGGATCAGATGTTTCGCGCGTGCAAAATCGCGCGCTGCGTTCCACGTGTGCGTCATCCAACATATTCCATTATATCGTATGAATGAATCGCGCGTCCCTGAATACATTTCAACCGATCGATCGGGTTCGTCTGGTGTTGGCGCTTAAGCCGTTCCCTCCTCGCTTCCCGCTGTTACACGATTCTGCAAACGGTGTAAAAGCCTCGTGCGGCTTTACTGAAAATTCCGCCGCGTTTCCGACGCGGTAAATATTGAATGAGATAATTAAGGGCCCAGATGTTCGATTCGCGGACTCCAAACGAACACGTTAATTACTCGTCTTCGATCGATCGAAGTTCGAGAATTGGAGCCAAACCTAGCCGAGTGGCAGGATCATTTTGTAATTCAGAATGCACACAGACAAAAGGAGACTTATTTTGACGTAAAAACACGTCGATCTGCATACGTTTGACGCGGCAATTGATTTATGAAGCTACTGACACGAGATCGACCGACTGAACCCGTCTCGACAGGCAGAGACTTGAAACTCGGCATCATTAGCGGTCGTTACTTAGCGCCCGCGGCTGGAATACTTCGATCTTTTTACGATACATCCGCGATTACCGGATCCAGACCGTTGCCTGTTTTAATTAGAAGAAACGAATCATAATCATAATTATCGATCGAACGAATCATAAATAATTCACGCTCTGTGACGGTTTGAAACGTTCCAGGCACAGAGTGATGGTTTTGCTGGAGGTAGAAACACACATCTATAGAAATACAACAGTAGTAATAGATGAGTATTTATTGAATTGGCAACTAAGTGATTGCGGATTTTGTCATTAGGTGATAATGATCACTCATACTTACTCACCTATCATTTCATTAGTGACGCTATTTAACTTATTTGTAGAAATTTTTAATTCCTACATTTTAAATTAAAGTACATAAAAGATTCTTTTTTTTTCCATATGTAAAAAAACATTCTGAAATATAGAATAAACAAATGAAAATAAAATATCCGATAATGAAAATCTAGTGAAATATCTTTCAAAGAAAAACAGCATTACCATCGAATTAAAACATGTCAATACGAAGCGTTAAACTTCCACCACCGTTGCGCACAGTCGTTGTTATACACCGCGACGACTTTTTGTCTCTTTATTTCTCGTTTGGTTTATTTCTTCTCTTTTTTATCTAAAGTGTTTGCACGGACAAGACGCGATACGCGCGGGCGATAAATCAAAAGATACAACGTTTAAATATTTTATTCGCGGAGAGAAAAAAATTTCGCCGAACCGAATCAAGGACGTCGGGCGCGTAACTTCCTCGAAACCGCGGTTCGTTTTATTATTCCACGGGGCGATCGTAAAGCTCATTGCAGTGCGGCGCAACGCGTTTATAATCGCGAGTCAACAACGCCTATCGCATTACTCGCCACGACCACGCACAGTACTTTTTCAATACTTTATTACATTTCTCGTTGCCACGCACGAGAGCACGCCTCCTCCCTCGCGAGTTTCCGGGAATCTTTTTTCATTCATCGATAAAGGAAGAATATCTCTTCTACGTTATTATCCTATTCCTTTGGTGATCTTGATTATATGCGACGAGGATGCAATTAAAAATCTCATCTTGTTTTATGCCGCCGACAAGTTACGATTTTTAAATTGAAAAACTTCTAGACACGTATTGTTCCTGCGTTAACGTATGCAAATGCGATGTGAAATTGCAAACTGTTTGCAACACCTTTGGATCATTTGCATATGCAGTCGATTTAATGTGATGCAGTGTAATTGCAAGTCAATAAACCTTATCGCGTTACTGTTTATGGAATATCCTTTTTTCCTTCTCAAGTATTTTTTGTGTTATTCCTTTTCGAATATTTGAAATATGTTATAAGACATTTACTAATCCTTAAAAACGGTATCAGCTTCGATCACTTATACAATTTCAAAAGTCAAATTGAATCTTTTTAATTATCCATTTCTTTCAAATATATATATAATAGATTCAAAATTAAATACCGTTAAGTAATGTTCGATATTCGGATGTCGTACTGTAATATGATTGTAATATGATTGATGTAATATAATTATTAACACAGGCATCTGAAAAGATATCTCCATTTGTATCGATATATAATTTTTACCATATTTGAACTAGTACAATTAATTTCGAAATTAATTGCTTGGAAGATAACAAACCCATATGTGTCGCTTGATCATTCTTCAGCTTAAATATGCCACCAAAAGATATAATATATTCAAAATGCACGTTCTTGAGTACACGAATTCGTTTGACAAATAGATTCAGTTTGCCATAGTCACATATACGTGTGTTATTTTTCCCAAAAAGATAAAAAAAACAAGTATCCCTTCCCGGTCCCAACGAACGGTTTCAAAGCAATACAAATCGGTGAAAAGACAAAAAGAAGAAAGAAGACAACAGATAACAAACTTAAGATACAAAGTTTTCTTGCACTTACCTAAATTTAATCGACGGAGCGCAAGATAAGAAATATGCGGCGGCAGTAGATAATTCTTGTCACCGGTCAGACACGATCGTTCGCGTAAACAACTCGCGGTATTGCAACTTTTCTCTGTTAATCTTCAAAGAGAACAATAACACGCAATTACCAATGATACTACCTTTCCTAACTCAAGGTGGACAACAGAAGTGCACCACTCCCATTAACACGACGAGCGCGTGAACGTAAATTGAATTTGAAAAAGTGTTGAACGTCGATGATTTGCATATGCGTTGAATTTCGCGCAACGCAGTAGGCGGGCGGCAATATTTCACGCGTGCAACGTAATTACGCCGAACGAAGACGAGGGTCACTGGGTGTAATAATTGAATGACGATTGCTCGGATAGCATAATAATCAGCCCATCGCCAACCAAAATGACTTTCACCACGCGCCGGACTCCATGGCGACGCGACGCCTGGAACACGGGGCGTGTACTACTCGGTTAATGTTCAAACTGGCGCGTACACGAACCGAAACCCGCCATTTAGCCAGCTCGATGACACTTTCTTCTCCTGGCGAACCTTGTACTTTCTACATGTACAAGCATTTTGCGTCGCAAAATTACTTTCGCCTGTCAGTTTGGAAACGCGACGAATATATTAGACTTCTCTTTTCGAGAGCGAAGCTATGTCGTTCTGCTTGGTAATTACGCTTAATTCGAAGATATCGGAGGGGAGAAATTTAACACGTAGTGGTCCTTAACCTTTTAACGGTCAGATTTCTTTTCAATTTTATATCCGAGCACGAACCGACTGAGATTTCTTACGCCTTCTTGTAAAAATTGTAACAATGTTTTCTACGTTCACAATAGTGTACGAAATACCTTTATCAAGATAAAGAAAAAAAAGCAAAAGATGGAGTATAACGTAAATCATATCGCATTCAATTTCAAATTTTTCATCCAAGAATGTGCAAGCCTTTATACATAAATTCATACCTTGTAAATATAGTAATACATTTTCTATATTGTCAATGTATATACAAGGTATACGAAATATTTTTACCGCTATAAAGAAACCGAAGCTTTTTTTACCAAAATAAAGAGACAGATCATTCCGCTTTGTGTATTAATATTTAGTATATACATATAGCAAAGCGACATCTTCCATGTAAAATACAATTTCGATTCACGAAAATCAATGAATAACGCAATGAGACAGACAAGCGAGCGTTAAAAAGTTAATCATACGCGTGTTTTTCTAATTTCCTGTTCACCGTGGACTTTTCCACACTCGCGCCGCAAATTAGAGATTGCGTGATCATACTTATCAGCAGACTTCCATCCACTCAAAGAGTCGCGGCGGTTCAGACTATATCTACCTGACTGTGTCGTATTTACAGGTATTTCTTTGATCGTTCTCTACGAAACGCCAGGTTGACGACCCTTTGATAACCAAGCGTGTTCTCGCAGCGATCGTGGATTTCGAACCATCCAAGTAGGAAGCATTTAGCAATCGACGCGTTAATGAGATCTTCGTACCGAAAGGTCTGTGCGTCTTCGTCGTTCAAATTGACCATATTTCTATCTCTTTTCTCTACAAAGTTAACGTTTGATGGTTATTTAGTTCTTGGAACACCAACATGACGAACGAAACTCGTCAAAGATAAATGAAACACAAAATTCCAAACGAAACAATCACAAAATAGATACAGTGACTCACGGAAGTAACCGAACACTTATAGAAACCTCTCGTGAATTTATTATCTGCGCTATACGAAATATTCTGATATTTATTAACACTGCGATGAGACAACTGTCGTAATCATATTGGAAAAATTTGAAAGAAATCTGAAAATGTATATATGAGCTACAAGATATTTAATGCAAATACATCTTTTGCAAAGGTAACAAAAATATTTAAAGTCAACTAACTAATATTATAACGGTATTACATAACTATATTATATAACTATATTATATTAATAAGACCTAGTATTCAATGTAACCATACTTAACATTGATTATATGTTTAAGGTAGCTATTTGTGACGTAGACTAATTTTACTGTTTGTAGTAAATATCTTGTAACGTGTATATACATTTGCAGAACCGTTTCAAATTTCACCGATATAATCCAAGGATCCAGAATAACAGATATTTCAAACATTTTGTGGAAAAATCTCATTGAATATAAATTCATTTTTACTTAAGGAAAGAAGGACAATTACAGTAAATCTTAAAGAAGCTTCTCAAAGAATAGAATGTTAAAAAAATATTAAGCTTTACTTGTTCTGATTACGAATAATCATAATAAAAAATTAAAAATTTTTTTCATTACAAATAATCATTAGCGATGATGGGTATTTTATTTTGTTTAAGAATAATTATTCTAGATCACAAAAATTGAATTTTGATTACTAGTAACCATTATCAATAGTCCGAATTTTATTTTGGCTACCGATAACTGATATCGACTATGAACATTTTATCTGATTACATTCGATTTGCGAATTGTCATTTTACATTACTGACAATTAGCATAGCAATACAAGCGCTAATTAATTAATACAAACGCATACAAAATTTTGCACAATATCTTTTATTTTATTCTTTGTTTCATATATTTTCATACCGTCTTTTATCTTTTTTTGCTCAACAAAATATGCATAAGTTTCACAATCCATGTTTTTGTGTCAATAAATATAGACTGATTATAAGTAATGTTAACAACGACTGTCAGTAGTCAAATATAACCAAAAAATAGTTTTGCCATCGATAATAGTTAGCGGTGATCAACATAAAATTCGAGTCGTCAATAATGGTTACTCGTAACCAAAATTAGATTTCCGCCATCGATAATGGCTATTCGCAGCCAAAGTAAAATTCCCGTCATCGATAACGATTAGCACTAATGAAAAAACTTTTGCTCATATATAATGATTATTAGTAACCAAAATACTCTAATTCAAAATATTCATTCTCAGACAATAACTTTCAATATTTCTCTTACAATAGTTAATCACAGTTGTGTCTTATTATATTGCTAGTGAAATTTGGAATGTTTTACAATATACCGATATACCGATATAAATCTTCTGTGAAATAGCGTTTGAACACTTTCACAAACCACTTTATATGTATATATTTTTTCCTCGAAATAAAGGAAGATTGAATATAGACGTGTTACTATTGGTTTTACGTACATGTACAAAGACAAAAAAAAATATGACGATCATAGAGAGAAGAAGAGGCACGATCGGCATAGAAAAAGCTGGTGATGCAGCACAATGCTCCGTGCGTGTACGTAAATAACGCGAGCGCTGTTATCTCGTCGGCTCCCTGCAATATGGAACGCGTTATCTGCCAGTCGGCTACAGAATATTGCGTTTTTATCGCGAAACCGCGGGATTTGCGTGGCGCGGAGGGGCAATGAGCGGGGACAGATACGGGAGATCGGTAGTAAAGATCGATTACGCGTTGCGTCGAACGCATCTACGACGATTTTTCATTCCAGACGAGTGATGATTCGTTGACGCAATGCAATTACATCGAACAATCCGCCTGTTTTTCTTTTTTATGACGTGTTGTGTATTTTCGAATGTTTAACGATAATTTTTTTTTTTATCAAGATCGGTAACATGATTGACTCAAAGACGATATACGAGCGAGATCTTTTTACGTGTAATTGAAATGACGAATGACAATCTGTTTAACTCGGCTGACGAATGCATTTTTTTTTTTTTTTTGAACGATAATTCGCAGGACTGATAATGCTTTATCTAAATAATCGTTAATACCGTACACGTCGTTTATTGTTTGGCAGAGTAAATATCAGGAAATTTATACGAACAATCGATCTCTGATTGGCACAGGTAAAGTTATAAATGTATACGTTACTTCGAAACGGGATATTTTGGAATTAAAAAATATAAATAACATTTTGCTTACATATCATTAAAATTACTTCTATAAGCTTATTCTTTTTACATAACACAATTCTCTGGCCTTGTACGTTTTATGCTATTAAAACACCAAACAAAATCCCTATCTATCCTTTTACCGTATTTTACTTATTTTTACTGTAGTCGTAAAAAGATTTCAACACAATCCGAATATTTAATTCTAGAACGTACTGCCAGGAATGAATGCAATTTTATCGAAATAATAAACTCAACATCAGCAAGCAAACGTCGATATCTACGAAATCCATCGCGACAAAAATAATTACATTTCCCCCACCTGATATCGTACGTGTGATCGTTTATCAAACGATTAACGAAGTACGCAGATAAAGTTAGAAGTTAAAACCCCGATCGATTACCTGGCACACTATGACGCAGGGACGATTTATTCATCGCGAGTCTATGTATCGACCATCAAATGTGTTTATATTCGAAAAATTCTTTTTATTCGCTACGCATGACTAATTTATCGCACTTAGTCCGATTCTCAAGGCCAAGTGACTGGCTAATTTCGTCGGTTAGCCAATTCCCCCATAATCGTTTATTCCTCTAACATCCAAAGCTATTTTTCGTATAACCTTAACATTTCCATTTTTAATTTTACGAAAACAAGACAGAAGGAGAAGACGTGAAGTCCTCGTATCGAATAATTGATCATAGTCAAAAGATAATACATACGCAATATCCTTGCTATTACAAATAACTGCGAATATTTATGGATTTATTGTGAAGGCGTAGATATGCACAAAATTCATATATAGATATTAATATAGATATTAAAACGAAATTCACCGGTGATAGCTTTCAGCAGTCAATATTTAGAAGCATACAGATTTTCCTGCTAGAAAGCAATTTTCGTAGGCGAAAAATTGTTGTCGCGAGACTACATATATGCTGCCAAGCAGTGAACTAAATCGCGATTTAGCCGGTCATTCCTACGACAGTCTATCCGTTTCTCTACAGCGTAATCTGCTCGTAAAACGTAATCGTTGTCGATTATTAGCCGCACGAGCGATTTTTCCGCGGTGAGAAAAAGCGTGGCAGCGAGGTAACGACCGACCAGAGTAGATAACGTGGTCGCAATATTTATTCACGAGCAGGAAATGCACGCACGTGCCCGACGATAGATCGATCCTAGAGATGGAAGGAACACACTCGTGCGCACACAAACCCACACAGACGAAGTTTGATGGATCTCAAGACGAGTCGAGAGATTGGCTACGCGTAGCAGGAATGCCGCGAATTTGAGGTGTGGCGTACACTCTCGATCCTTCCACTCTCTTCAGAAAGGATACCTCTTCCTCCTCCGCTTTCCGTGGCCAACCTACTCGCCACTAGTCGTGACTACTATTATGATCAGCGTTTAGATTCATCCGCTACGTCAATCGCGTTCGACATCTCTATCGATCGCGACAGATCAAAAACCGTTATGATGCTGTCGTGAGAGATCTCAAGGACGGATAGGAAAAAGTACAAGATCCAGAAGCAAGAAAAGCGAATGATTTGTGTTCATCGAGGAGATAGTAAAAAGTGATCGAAGTTTTGTTAAGGCTTCGTGTTCTACAGGTTTTGCTCGACAGTTTCTTGGCTGCCGAGGCTTCGATGGAGAATGGAATTTTCATACTGAAATTTTTCACGAAGATTTACCCAGGATATGTATAAGATTACAGATTTTGCAATTCCTCAGACCTGGCAGAACAAAGTAATTGAAGATCCTATCGGTGGGTTGGGTATCCAGGTGTATTTGTAGGCTTTATCTTCGTAGCTAGGTATAAAGTTAAATCGATTTCGTTCTATCGACGGGAAGACTAATTGTGGAAA